CTGTTTAATAAAATTGAAAATATAGTAAGTATAATTGCAACAAGCTATTTAGAACTAATATTACTCAACTTCCTGATGGTCATTTTCCTGATAGGCCATCTAACCTACATCACACAGCATAATAATTTAATGTTTTATTAGTTGCAGTTATATTTTATCAGTGAGTTTTCATGCTTTATGATGTTGGTTAGATGTCCTGTCAGGGAAATGACCACTTGAAAATTTATATATAACTATTTAGAACAACTCAAACTATGTGATAATTAGCATATTGTTTTAGCAGTATTAAAACTGATATGATATTAGCTTGAACTGTTACTATTTTATAATCTAAAACTTTAAATATACGTAGATCAGTACTGAATCTTGCAGATATTATAGGGCCTTATTTGGATCTTTCTGACGTGCCATGTTTGAACATGTTTTTAAGAACAAGGTTTCACCAACCGTCAATTCTGAGAGCTCTGAAGCTAATATATTGTATTGGAAATTAAACAATGATGTATGTTGGTGCTTGGAAAACTTGGATACAATGATGGAAAAGAAAGAAAAAACTTACCTTCAAATGGTTGCTAAAAAGGTGTTTGGTAGGCAAATTACCAATAACCAATATGCTGTTACATGGGCTGTCTTGCATAACCTTTTTAATCCTGAAATCATTAAAATAAAGTTTGATAAGAAATACTTAACGCGAAAGTTACAATGTTTTCTGGTAATTTTTTTTTTTTATTTTGTTTTTATAGATATTTATTTATTAATTGCTTTATAATTTATAACAAAATATGACAATACTGAAAGAAATCAAGATGATAACTCAAACATGTTTGATAGTAAATAATGCTAAAGCATATCTATTACTACCTACTGACACTGCCATAATGAGTTGTATGAACAGTGCACAAAATGGGATATTGATATTAATTAAATAGTATTCCAAGATATATATATATTAGATATTTGAAGTTTATGCAAAAAATTTGTATAAATTATAAGGTTATATAAAATTTATT